AGCATCCATCCAGTATTCGTCTGGCTAGCGTCCTTGCAGCAAACAGCTTGGTTAGCTTCAGCATATTATCGCAACCCCAGCACGTGGCTCGTCAACGGCTCCGCTCCGTTGCTTCCACCACCGGTCAATTGAGCTGAGCTGCTGCCGCCGCGGGAGAATGCTGGAGCCTTTGCTGCTGAGCAGCTGATTGGCGATTGGATCGGCCTCCTGGAATACCGCCAATCAGCTGTTCTAGGCAGCGGGGATCGCCATCGCTGATCGCCACTGGTGCCATTCGGCAGCAGTGATTAGCAGTGATGGTGAAGGCAGCGATTACCATCTAGAACAGCTGATAGGCGGTATTCCGGGTGGCTGATCAGCTGCTTGGCAGCGAAGGCTCCAGTGTTCCTTGGCGGTGGTGAACAGCAGCGGTGACAGGCGGCAGTGGCAGTGACAGGTGGTGGCAAACGCCGCTGCCGCACCAACCCTCTTCCCTTCGCCACAATATTCACCCTATAAGATGCACAGACATTTCCACCCACTTTTTTTTTGGGGGGGGGAGTGTGTCATAGTGTGAAAAATACGGTATTGGTTCTTGCATTTTTGGAGGATGCAATCAATAGCAGACTTTGTTATAGAGTACTTAACTATAATCCCACCTTCTGCTGAAAATTAATTGCTATTTTTCTCATTTTGAGATTGTTTTACAAGCATTTCTCATATTATTTGCAGTCTTAGAAAAGTGCATTCTGTGTACATTGGCACATTTTGTCAAATTTTACCCAATAAATATCATATATATCATGTAAGTAATATGAAAAAGAGAAATGATTGTAAAAAAAACCCTTAAAACCAGAGAAATAGCTCTGCCTGTTGGGAATTAATAACATGATTAATGCCTATGCATTTTTACAAAATTTACTCAATACAATCCTTTTTAGTTTTGGTTCAAATTTTGTCATGTCCAGTGTAAACCTTTGTGAGAATATCTTCTAAGCAATTCGGAATTTGCACTTTTGTGGCTGAATTGTTCATATGCTACATTAAATTTTGTTTTGTAACAGAAGCCAAAATTATTGTCATCAGCCTCTAATTATGAAGACTATTGTGTTTCCCCACCTGTATCACCAGTGGATTCAGAGGAGATCAGAAAAGTCAGCAATGCTCGTGCAAGGTTGTTTAAAAATGTTTCCTGTGGAAATCTACTTCCAGATAAACTATTTCTTCCCAATGACTGTAAGAATACTAATCCATAACTTTCTCTTTAACACAAATCCCTTTTTAAAATAATGAAGGTAGCCTTTGAATATGAATCTAGATTTCACTCTTCCATCAGTAAACCTATTGCCGATTTAATCAATGCAACCCTACACATATTTCCACCTTAGAAGTAAGTACTGCTCAATTTAGTGAGATTCACTCCCAGGTAATGATGTATGTATGATATTATAATCTCCATATATTAGTTTGAGCTTTAAATTAGCCATCAGTCCATTATGCTTTCAGTCTAGTGAGTGACCTTGCTAGAAAGGGTTAAAGACAAGCCTCTTCAGGAGGTTTTAAACAGTTGACATTTTGCTGAAACTTTTTTACCAACACTTTATACATTTATATACCTTTAGAAAAATATTTGATGCAAGGAAAAACCAATCACCTCTATTCTTTACAAAGGTACATTATACAGGTAGTCCTGGACTGAACAACTGTTCAAAGTTGTGACAGACTTTCCTGTATTTAACAACCCAGTTTCAAAGTTCTGATGGAAACTCTTCCCTCCCCCCCATCAAATTACCCCATGTTGGCTTCTCTGCCCACATTTACAGTCATTTGCAGCATCCCGTGGTCATGTGACTATGGTTTTTACAATGTAGTTTTGCTGAAAACCAGGATTTACTTCGTTGTTTTGGCAAAACCAACCCATTGGTTCACTGAACAATGGCAGCATACATCTAATGGACCACCACCAAAAGGTCTTAAAATTGGCTCAGTCACATGAATGGCCTGATTTTTGACATTCATGATTTATGAGTATGATGGGCAGACTCCATTACATGGAGGACTACCAGTAGTTGTTCAGTTGCAGTTAGGTGAAACAGCAAATACATGAGCAACTGTTATTTCTGAACAGATGTTGTTTTTCAATCTTAAAAGGTATCTTTCTGCATATTTTACCTAGTGAGAATATTGCAAGTTTTGTTTAATACAGGTAAGAGGCTGTATTTTGAAGAGCATTTTATTCCAAGGAGTGATCATGAAGGTTTTTCACAAAAGCTGCCGGTCCAGTTCAGCATCAGGGATGCTGGTCTTCCAATAGTTTATATAGACCATCATAATAAGACAGTAGGAGAAGAATTTTTTCCACAAGTGAGAAACATACCATTTCCAGCACAATTCAGCAGGCAAAGGTCAGTATCTTTTTTTTTAACTGTACCATTTTCTCCACACATATTGTCCTGGAACAGCATTCTCCCAGAGATTTGCATGACTCCCAACTTACCAGCTTAAATGCATTAAAAACATATTTCCAAAGGCCTTAGGTTAGAGTAAAGCAGGATTGGGGTGTTATCTATTTGTATCTCTGGGGGGGAGGGGGGGAGAGTTAGCTACTGCTTCTCCTGGGTAACATGTACTTAGAGTTTTATTTCAAATTTTACTGTTTTTCGGTGTTGGCCAGAGTTGTAGAAGTTGGGTGGCCTAGAAATATAAATTTATATATTTATATCTATTATAAATATAAATAAATAGATAAGATTTTATATCAAGCATCCTATACAAAAATGTCTCTAAGTTACTTTCAAAATATAAAATAAGAAATACATTAAGAATAGTACTGTAAAAAAAAACACCATACAAGAAAAACAAACAAACAAACAGGAAGAAAACTTTCTCCATATGGAAGAGGCCAAGATCAAGGGAAGGTATATTTATGAGCAGGTTGGGAATATAAACAAACAACTAGAAGTCACTTTTAGAGTCTGTCAATTAATGTCTGGATCAGTAGGGTTGAGCCATCAAAATATCTAGTCCCAAGTTGGTTGGGTTCTTACATGTCAAAAGCAAAACTTTAAATCTGGCTTTACAAGCCAGGGTAGTTATTTCAGCAGAACTGTTATATATAAATACCCAATTGCTCCATTGTAGCTGCAGCTTTAGCTTCTGCCTCAGTTACAAAAGTAACCCCATTTAGAACAGGTTATAGCCTTTGAAGTTCAAAATTATCAAAAGAAGCACATCATTAGTAGCTGTTTGTGTTCAGGAAAGGACAAGCTAGTTGATATACTAACTGAAGCCGGCAATAGCTGCTCCCCCCTTGCTCCCCAGTACACTGTTTTTACTTCAGGGTATACAATTTACAGTGTTGTTTTTAGGACCAATCAGATCTCTGTTCTTTCTGAGTGAATGCATAGGATTGAGGCCTGAGTTGGATCTATATCATTTCATCGTATGCTTTAAAATAATTTGAATGCCATAATGTGTAAAAAAAAAATCCAGTGTTCCAAAATTTGTTTTTATTCATTGTATATAGAAACTGAACTGAGAATTAGTTTTCGTACCCAAGTGAATATTAGGTTGCAAGAGGATTGGTATATACTCTTCTTTATAATTGCTAAGAGTAAACCCCCTGCAGATTGTTAATAGTTAAATGTACTCATTTGTTCATATATTTATTTTTGTATTTTACATTTTAGAATTATGTCAGTTTGTTGCAATTACCTATACCTAATCTAACTAAGCTCTGACCATGTATTTTCACTTTTCCTTACTCAAAGCTACTTGTTTAAATGCCACAATTGCTTAAGCGTAATTTACTGACAATATTAATTGTACCAGTAAACTATGAAATCTTAGGTGCATTTCCTTTTAAATATAGAATTTACACTCATAGGTAGGCTAGGTTAAATGATACATCTCTAATTTTAAATGTCTCAACTGACTCTATTTTATAACTTCATAGGTATGTAGGCGATAAAAGTTGCTTATTTAAACAGTTCCCATGAAATAGTAACACAGCTCCTAATGTATGGTTTTAAATCGATTTAGAAATAAAAAAAATTAAAATTAAGATTTTTCTATAATAAATATGAATTATCCTTATTCCCAATCTTTCCTAAAATAAATCAGGTGCCTTGTTAATGAAAATCTTTTGCTTAAGACTGACAAGTATTAGAACTCCATGTAGGTTTTTCGCTTTTCTACACATTACAAAGTGAAACTGGAAAATATCCTGTTTGTGAAAAAACAAAGGAACAAAGTTTAAAACTTTTTAAAGCTAATGTCAGTACCTAAATGTTGCATTTATATCGACTGCTGATCAACTAGTGTTTATGGAATGTAAGGTTTCCATACTTTGTTCCCTATCTTGTGGCTTACATTTTGTGTTACATGATTGTAGCTGCTCAGGCTCACAAGCTCATCAGTTTTTATGTTCAGTAATGATGACCTCTTGTGGTATGATTCTTTTACTGCAACATGGATATATTAAATTTAAAACACTGTATGAAATCATGTTAAATATATTACGTAAATAAATGAGACCAATGCATTTAATATTAAATCATTTATGAAAGAAGCAGCAGTTTCATTTCTGATATGAGGAAACAGGCAGAAATCTAAGAGGAGGTAAAATATTTTGTCTTTTAACCCATTTATATTCTCTGTTAATTAAAAATAAATACATGTAGCATATAGGATTGGGTATTGCTTTCAAGACTTTGACCAGAGGATATAAATAAATGCTCAATTTCCTTTCCTCAGCCTATCCAGGGGGAGAGCAAACAGACTTCTGCTCCTTCCCAGCTGATTCCCAAACTGGTTGTGGTGAGACAATTTAGCTTGAGAAACAGGTGGTTTGACCGCCCACTCATTCTCAGTGCTGTATCAACTCTTGGTAGAGTGTGCTAAAAACAAACCTCTTGGGAGCACTGATCATCTAATTGTGAGTTGCAGTTAGCTGTAATGAGTGTTGCTATCCTCTGACCAAATTAGATTACAGGAGATTTCTTTTGTTTGCAAGAGAAGGGTGAACTCCTTAATCCAGGGGTGTCAAGCTCGTGTCATCACGTCATCATCACGTGACATTGCAACTCCCCCCTTTGCTAAACTGGGGGTGGGCGTGGCCAGTGTCTGACGCATCTGGCCCCAGGCCACAAGTTTGACATTCCTGCCTTAACCTGTCAGAAAGTTATGAATTTACTTGAAGTACTTGGTCACAGCGGTTGATTAAAAGTTATGATAAATAATTTGTATAAATGGAATAAAAGATATTGATGAATATCCCTGCTCAATTTGTTTAGCAATTGTCATATGAGAGAGAGGAAGAGAGAAAGAGTGTGTATAGTTTTGGTTCCTGAGGAAATCCAAATTGTTTGGGATGCAGAGAGATCTAGTAGCATAGTTTGTGGCAAGATCATCAGTGTTAAAAAGGGGTTCTCTACTTATTAAAATGCATTCCCAGTTTAGTGGGTGAAAGGTCAGAGTAAATATATATATGTATTCATAATTTTGATGGCTTTTTGGCATTTTAAAAAATTACTGCTAATTTCCCCCTCCTTTTAGTGACCAGTTTAATAAACAAGAGTCTCCTTTATCATATCCAGACTATACTGAAATGACTAAATCGGCAACTAAATCAGGTACATGTTACATACTTAGCCCATATGTATTTTTTCATTGTAATGTAATAATAAGTGAATGAGCTTTGGCAAGCCAGAGCAAAGTTTCAATCTTAAGTAGTCTTCCCATGTGTCCAAAAGGAAAAAATAAAATAAAATTTGACTTAACCTAATTGTTCACAAGTGCTGGTTTATCATAACATACAAAGCAGGAATTATGTTGTCAAATCATTTGATAAAATAAAACTAAATGTTAATTTCTTTCTTCTCCTGATCTTTGGCTTGCTCAAGCTCATTTGTATTGACTGTCTTGAGTTAAGCCTGACTCCTGGAGATTCTATGGACCATTACCTTCCATCTTGATGTGTTCCTGGTGATGATCCACAGTTATTCTATGGACATTCAGGGTTATCTCTGATTTCATCTATCTACTTTGCCTTCCTATCTTCTACATTTCTCAACTTTACCAATTTAGTACTGGTAATTTTATCTAGTTTCATCCTCTTTTCATCCTCGGCTATCATTACATGCCCAAAATTGAGTTTCTACTTAGTAATTATTGCCTCAGTCTGTCAGTCTTTTTTACAGCATTGATTGGTTGAGTTTTTCTTGTCGTCTGGGGCTATTCTTCGTATCTTTGATTCAGATGTCTACCTTTTTTCATTCTTTTTTTCAGTTTCTAAGTGACTATTGCTTTAATTATTCTATGTATTGGCATAAAAATATACATAGTTTTCATGATTTTTTATAAAAATGCCATTGCTTTTTCCTAGACATAGTCTCTTGATTTCTTTAGCATATTTTTCAGCTCAGGAAAACAATTATATACTATGTTCAATATTTACACTCAGCTACTATAGCTAAGCATACTGGTTAACATTGCTTTTGTGAATATCTTACATTAATAAGGATTTTTACCTTTCAATGTATACTTTCCTAGTTAAGTTTTAAAAATCTTATTTATTTTTAGTTCACAAAAATCAAACTGCTAGTGCTTTAACGTCCAGTTTGAATTTAGTGTGGCCAGCCAATTTAATGTAGTGGTTAAGGTGCTGGCCTAGAAAAGAGAGACTGTAAGTTTTGTTGTGGGAGCAATAGGAGGAGAAAGGAGTATTAGGTATGTTTGCAGCTATGAATTACTTATAATAATAAAGGTGGGATAACAATTTAATAAATAAACATCCCAAACATTTTCCCCAGTCATAAAACGATGTCGGTTCCTTGAGAATTTGGACAGTTGAAAATGCTGGATGAGTGCTGCATATGTAATAAAGACTAACATAAATAAGACTTTGTTCTTTGATCATACTTTTTCAAGCGAAGTTTTTTCATGAAGCTAAAAGCTGGATATTTTTTATATAATGTTCATATTTCTTCTGGTTTAGATATCCTTGTTTTGTAAGAGTCCAAGGTAAACAAAAAATAATATATGATGGTAAGTCATGTACAAATTATTGGAAGGTTGATCCTTAGACTTTTATTTGCCCTGTGAAATTGGCAGACATGGGATGAAAGACAATGAGGTGTTTGAAACTTGGAGACAGCCACAAAGTGTTTAATTAAAAAGATGATTTAATTTATGAATTAATTGCATAATTATTGGGCAAAGCATTGGAATTAATCTAGCAGTGTTAGATTATATTGATTAGAATGAATAATCTTGTTTTAAAGTTATCACAGAATATAATCAATATTTGTTACATTGTAATATGATGAGAATTATAGAGCAGGAATGCAGTGTCACCCAGTGGTTTATCTGTGGAGGACTTAGAAACCGTAGTCCTTAGTTGAGAAATTATATCAGTGATTTTGGGGACTTGTATTCCATTCCACAACATTAAACAATATAATATCATGAAGTTCCATTGTATCCCTCATGTTTGTCAACACTTATCTGAAACTCTTGAGATTAGTCATCCAGAAATTTGGATATATAAAGTATCATTAATTATCATACCTAGTGTCTGGAGATTTTAAGGTGGAAAAGTGGTCTAAAATGAGACTTAATCTGGCTCCAGATACAGCTATATAGAATCTGGGATCCCAGCGCTAGTATAGTCAAGGAAATCTTTGAGTATGGCTTACATGTCCCTTCTAGGAATTGCTACCACCAATTAGAATGTTAATATGACTTAAGGAGAAAATTATTAAATGCACAAAGACTGCTATACATCACCGTGCTTTTACATTTCATAAATTTCAGTCAGTTGGTCAGATGAGATGGTCAGATGTAGAAAATTAAGCTATAAGTGCTGACTACTGATGCATTTCTAATCCCAATTAAAACCTATGGTTCAAATTTGAAGCAATAAACAGTTTAGAGCAAGCAACTTATTCCGTTGCTTTCCAAATTCCTGTTATTCCATCAGGAGCTTGTATATTCATATATGTCAATTTTTGTCCTTAGGTTAGGGGATGTTTTGGGGTGAGAAAAGCCAATGGCTTGAAGTCATCCAGTGTGTTTCTATGGCGGAAGTAGACTTGAACCATAGTCTCCCTAGTTCTGCTCCAAAATTGAAATCATTTGTCCAGAGTTCTTCATACAACCTGTTAGTTTAAAAAGGATTTCCCAGAATCCTTCCTGCCTATCTCTCGAACAGACACAGAATGATGACAGTTTGAGCACAAAAACAGGCAAGGGGGTCTTTTTCATATAGCTGGTCCTTACTGTTATATCACAGAAAAATTGCTATGGACTCTCTTTTTTTATTTGCCTTTAGTCTTTTGTGGAACCCTGGGGTTTGAAGAAATTTGCATTACACCATCCTGATCCTGTAGTTTTATTAGCAACAATTAAATTTATCAGATGGGTTGTGTTTTATTATTAATTTCATTCTTTTGTTTTTCACTGAATTTTATTACCTAAGAATGTCTCCCCACACACACACGTACTTTTATTCTTAAACTAGCCGATAACACAGCATTGCACGTGTATTTATTTATAAGGGGAAAATGTCCAGACCAAAAATAATTTCTAATGTTGGATTTTCCCCCTTACCAGAGGAAACCCCCTTGTGGAGTATCGTGAAGCTGTTACCATGGCAACTCCACTGTACAGTAGTATTCATTTTAGGGCAGTACGATAGAAGCCATTTTAAGGCAAAACAGGCTGTATCTTAACAGAACACCCCATCCCCCCAGGGGTGTCTTACTCCCAAAGTATTTTTTTTCCAGACAGTAAGTCATCTGTGTACCAAGTTTGGTTGAAATTGCTTAAGGTGTTCCAGAGCTATGCAGGAACCTACGCGCGCGCGCGCACACACACACACACACACACACAGACACACACACA